GTGAAGATGTTCAAATGATTAAGTGACAAATATGAGGGGATTTAGATATAATTTATCAATTTAATTTTAGGCAACAAAATGATAAGAGTTAGTTTTAGTTACATATAAATTTTTATTTTTGAGGGCATAAATTGAGATTTTTTATCTTTAGGAGTGCACATTAATATAAATTTTTATCTTTAAAAGTACAAATTAAAATTTTTAATCTTTAAAAGTACAAATTAAAATTTTTAATCTTTAAGGCATAAATTGACATTCGAATGAATCTTTTGGTACAATTTACAGTTAACCCACGCATATATGCACACTCATGCACCACCCCCACACAGTTCAAATTAACAGAGACCATCAGTAGACCCAATAAACCGAAACTCTTTGACCCAATAAACCGAAACTTATTGGGTCTACTGATGGATCCTGAGTTGATCAGACTTGCTCAAGAACAGATGAGTCGATGTCACCTACTGAATTGGCTGGGATTCAACAACAGGTCATAGTCTTTTTTTTTTTTTTTTAATTGTTGCAAAATCTGTCTTTGTTTTTTCATTTTAGGTTTATGGTTGAAAGTTTTTGTAGCGACACAATGTGCAATTTGAATGTAATTAGTGTTATGACACATGACTCATGGTTCTGCTTTGGTGAAATTTTGATTATAAGATTGATGCTTTTAGACTGTAATTCGAAGGGAATTGAAGTTTTGTATGGGTGGACTTTGAAAATTGTCATAAGACCTTGTGGAACTCAATGTAATTGTTCTAACTAACAAGAATTCTGGTGATCCTGAGAATGCATGTCTTTCTTTATTTGATGCATTGTAGCTTGTAATTTGTAGTGAATACTAGTTTTTGTGTGTTTGTGAAGGTTTTGAGAGGACCCATCTACAATTTAGTTTTTATCGGTACGATTGAGAATTCTGGGTTTGAGAATTCTTGTTTATTTGTGCTCTAAGCTTGTAAGTTGGGAGTATATGTTTTGAGAAAACCCATGTGCAATGCAATATATTATTGTTATAAGCATAATTTTGATGGTTCTGCTGTGTAGATTTTCGTTTTTTTGATGCTTTGTTTTAAACCGAGAAACAGAGTCAAAGGGTTTTTTATTTAAAATTTTTATTCATTCTCATGGATCTGTGGTTCATTAGATTTGTAATATATTGGATTGGGTTTGGTTTAGAATAAAATATCTGAAAGATTCTTTTTTCTTGTTTTTGCAAATGACACTTCTTTTATCAATTAAACCTCTGTTAAATTAGTATTGTGGTTATCCAAACTCATACTATCAGTAGGCAAAAATGGTGTTTTTTGTACTTGAATAAGCACTATTGTTCTTGCTAAGCTTAGATTAAAGAAAAATTTTGAAGTTAGGAAAGTGAGGATAAAGATTTTGGATGTCTTTTGTTTGTTGTTTTATGCAATTGGTTTTGGTCGCAAGCCATAATTAGGCCTTTACAATCAATAGTATCTGAGAGAACTTAATAATGTTTGTGTAAATATTGCATTAGAAAGAGAAGATATGTGAAGAGAGCGATATGAGAGGTAGGATGAGAAAATTGTACCCCCGCCTCTCACTAGCAATTCATATTTATAACTATCCAATGAATCTTAAAAGACTTTTATACCCCTATATGGGTACACATAAACTAAACAATAACACTAATACTCTTAACACTCTCCCTCAAGTTAGATTATGTATATCATATAATTCAAGTTTGGAACAAATAGTTATCTGACAAGTGCGACTCAAATCTTTGGTAAACATTTCTACAAGTTGATCCTCAGATTTCACGAATGGTGGTACAATGTTTCCGCTTAGTATTTTATCCCGAATAAAGTGACAATCAAACTCAATATGCTTGATCCTCTCATGAAATATTGGATTAACAGCAATATGAAAAGCAGCCTAATTATCACAAAATAACTGTAGAGGACGTTTAGCTAGGAACCCAATCTCTTGAAGAAAATGTTGCAACTAAGTTAATTCACTCGTAACATCTGTCATTACTCTATACTCTGCTTCTACACTAGATCTTGCTATCACAGTTTGTTTTTTATTTTTTCATAAAACCAAATCACCCCTTAAGAAAGTACAATAATTAGAAGTTGACCTCCGATCGGAGGGAGATCCAGCCCAATCAGCATGTGTAAAATCATTTACTCTAAGATGTCTTTTTTTTTTTAACAGTACTCTAAGATGTCCATTGGGCTAATACAATAAACCAAGCCCAGGATTNTCTAAGATATCTTTTTTTTTTAACAGTACTCTAAGATGTCCATTGGGCTAATACAATAAACCAAGCTCAGGAGCTTTTTAAGATATCGAAGAATAAGAATAACAACATCTCAATGTGGTACTCTAAGTGCTCCCAAAAATTGACTCACAACACTTATCGTATATAAAATATTTGGCCGTGTAATAGTAAGATAATCAACTTTCCAACTAATCTACAACACTTGCTGGGAATATTAAATAGTGCACCATCGTCCACCAAAAGTTTCTGATTTGGATCCATAGGAGCTTCAACTGATCAATCAGCCAATAAACCTACTTCTTCTAGAATATCAAGTACGTATTTCTCCAGTGATATATAAATACCCTGCTTACACCTAGCAATTTCGATACCCAAAAAATATTTTAACTCTTCCAAATTTGTAGTGTGATGTTGAAGAAAAACTTTTAACTTAATCATTCCAAAAGAATCATTGCCAGTAATCACAATATCATTTACGTAAATAACAAGTATAATGTAACCAGCACCAGTATGTCAATGTAATACAATGTAATCTGTTCGACACATGGCGAGACTAAACTCTAAAACTACCTTTGAAAACTTACCAAACTAGGCCCTTGGTGATTGTTTCAAACCATATAGGGACTTCTTTAATCGACCCACATTACCATGATACTCCCCCTGACCAACAAACTCAGGTGGTTGTTCCATATAAACTTCTTCAGTCAAGTCACCATGCAAAAAGACATTTTTAACATATACAAAGGCTAGCAGCTAAAGAAATCAACACACAAGTAGAGAAAATCTTAGTAACAAGGGAAAAAATCTCATCATACTCAATCCCATATGTCTGAGCAAAGCCCTAAGTAACACGTCGAGTTTTTAGGCGTTTAATAGAACTATCAGGATGAAATTTCATAGTATAAACCCGTTGACAACCAACAAGCTTCTTATTAGAGGGTAACAGAACCAAATCCTAAGTTTTGTTATTATGCAAGGCATCCATCTCCATCTCTATAGCTTTTCTCTAATTTGGTTCAAATAACGCTTCTAATAATGTCTCAAGAACAAAGATAGTAGAGAGCTGAGATATAAAACCTGAGAAAACAAGGGATAAGGCATCGTAAGAGACAAAAGGACTAATAAGATGTTTAGTAGCACCAGTTCAGGTCTCTTTGTGAAGAGCAATAGACAATGACTCCAAAACAACATGAGGACTTAGGTCTGAAGATGACAAGGAAGATGTAGGGGCACTTTAGCAGATGGTCTCGGACGATGTGAATACACCTTCAATGGAGCTGCAGTGGATGGTGATGGTGAAGGTGGAGGAGGTGACTAGTGTGGATTATAGCAGATGGCAATGGAAGAGGAGGTGACTGGTGTGGGATGATAACAGACGACAATAGAAGAGGAGGTGAAGTTAATGATGGAGCGAGAAAGAGAGGTGACAACAGGAAAATATGGTATAGACTCACAAAAGGTGACATCAACACTAGTGAAATAGAGTCGAAGTGTAAGATTATAACAACGATAACCTTTCTGGGTGTATGAACGACCAAGGAAGACACACTTTGTACGATGGAGGTCTAAGTTTATCAAAGTTAGGACCCAAATTATGAACATAACAAATACAACCAAAAACTTTAGGAGGAACAAGAAATAAGAGAGCCCACGGAAGAAGGACCGAATGGGGAGATTGCCCATCTAACATAGATGAAGGCATATGGTTAATGAGATGGCAAACAATAAGAACAACATCACTCCAAAAATGTTTGGAAACATGTATCTGAAATAGAATTGCTCGAGTTATTTTCAATAAATGACGATTTTTACGTTCTGCCACCCCATTTTGTTATGGTGTGTGAATACAAGAAATTTGATGAATAATACCTTTATCACGAAGATAAGTGGAAATGGGACCAGAGCCATATTCTCTAGCATTGTCAGACTGCAAAAATATGAATTCGACAACCGAATTGAGTTTTGATTTCTTTACGAAATGTTTGGAATATGGAAAGCATTTCAGAACGTGCTTTCATAAAAAATAACCATGTCATATGAGAATAATCATCCACAAATGTCAGAAAATATGAAAATTTATTGGATGAAATATTATTTAATGGACCTCATACATCAAAATGAATCAATTCAAATGGATTGGAGACACGATTATGAATCCAAAGTTTAAAAGATAAACGATGATGCTTATTAAATTGACATGCTTCACAAAATACAGAGGACACAAAACTCAGACAAGGAACTTGACGCTTCAAATTAGGAAGAGATGGGTGACCAAGTCACTGCCACTGAAATGGTGATAACAAGGAAAAGGGCTTTAGGAGATGGCTTGAAATCAAAGGAATATAGACAGAGGAAAGAGAGAAACAACTGAATAAACAGAGGATAGAGAGAAAAAGGTCTATAAGATTCAAGCCCTAGGAATTTGCTTTGACACCATGTAAGATTGCATTAGAAAGAGAAGATATGTGAAGAGAGCAATAGGAGAGGTAGGAAGAGAAAATTGTAACCCTACCTCTCACTAGCAATTTATATTTATAACTATCCAATAAATCACAAAAGATTAGTATGTCTCTAAATGGGTACACATAAACTAAACAATAACATTAATACTCTTAACAGTTTGCATTACAAGTTCTCATATTTGTTTATTTGGAAACCATCTAACAATAACACTAGAGATATCTTTGACAAATATTCATTGTATGTCACACTAATGATGCATTCAAAAAATAAAAAAATTGCTCAGACTTTCATGGACTTTGTGAATTTCCATCTATCTGTTCGTTCTGTGTTTCTTCCAGTGGAATGGTATTTATTGTCCTGATCTACGGTTGACATGGCAGATGATGTCTAATCCTGAATTGATGAGAATGGCTTCGGAAAGCATGAAAAACATGAGGCCTGAAAACTTGAGAAATGCTGCAGAACTCGTCCAGAGGAAATGGCTGAGATTGGTGAGAAGATGGCCAATGCAACAGCTGAAGAGGTAGATGCTATGTGTGCCCATGCAGATGTGCAGATTACTTATGAAGTAAACGCAGCTCAAATGCTGAAGAACCAGTTATGTCATCAGCTTGCAAAGTCATAATTTTAATACATTTGCTTACCCAAAAGTCACAACATAAACATGTGTTTGTTCTGGGCTATAAATATGCTCACTTACTGTTCTCATATTACGATTTCATACAATATTTAATCTACTTTCTTTATTTTGTCTCCACTTTATCTTCTGGATGTTCATAGTATTTTTGCATTCAAAGATACCTCAAATCTTCTGTTACTGTGAAGGATGATCTTTCCTTAACCGGTCTTATCAGGGTCATCCTCCAAACCGTAATTTTGATGTTGTAGTGCCCTTTGTCCTCTTGTGTTTTCGAGTGGGTTTTTTGTGGGGAAGAAGTTTCTGAAGCATTGGATTAATAGTGGTCTGCTCACTTAGGAAGCATGGATATAAATACAGGAATTTGACAAAATATAAGAAAATAAGATGCGGATGCAGATGTGGCTAAATAGGATAATAAATATATGTTGTTTACATATTTTACACAATTATATGATTAATTTGGGTTATTTGTAGAAATATTGTTGAAAACCATAAACTCTAATCGGCTAAAAAGAATATGACCTCATCTAAAACATTAAATATATAAGCAGATTGTAAGAAGATATTCAAATCGGTCTTTTGCATTTACTTTCTAGATGGATGTAACCTTAAATTTGAGAGAAATGACATGTTGTGCTTGAATAGAATTTATGATGCCTTCTTTAGGAACAGAAGTTGTGCCTTTTTAATTGTGATCTTTAAGGACATAACTTTAGTGGGATTATTAACCAAACTCAAGAATTGGTAATGTTACATAGGATCTTTGAAAGCTAAGCTACAACTGACCTAATTTATAATGAGTGTTATTCTCTTTTGGCGCATTGAGCAAGCAATTTGTTTTGTATTATATTTTTGTCATGATTTTCTATATGTTATTCAATGTGGATTTTGATATTTAAAAATTTGGCCGTGATTTCTAATCCTGACTTTGCATTCTTATAGTTTTCTACGTCAAGATTTCCTTTGATTTTTGTTATATTTGCATCACAGTATTACAGTTGGATTTCCTTTTCTGGTAGGAAAATATGTCAAAATCTTAAAGTGATGCATCACATGTGACTATTTGTATCTAGATTAGCACAAAATATTTGTGATGATATAGAAATGAGTTGCAAATGTCCACAAATCAGTGGTGGAAGTTAAATTTCTTGAAATATAGCTAAGATGTACATTTACTTGGTAACATTTTCCCTCACTTTTAATAACTCATTTGCATTCATGTGACTGAACTTTAGTTATAAATTGGCGCCTGACATTGACTTATGGGTCCATTTTATGTTATGGCAGGGGAATGAACTTCACAGCCAGGGAAGGTTTAGTGATGCCTTGCAAAAATATTTGCTTGTAAGTGTAGCAGTTTTGTTTATTTCCACCTTTATGTTTCATATGTGGGTTCTCTTGAATATAGATTTTAGCCTCTGCAATATGAAATTTATGTTATTTTTTCCAAAAAAAAAAAAAATCTTAGGCAAAGACAAATCTAAAAGGCATTCCAGCTTCCAAAGGTAGAAGTCTCCGGATGGCATGCTCTCTTAATATGATGTCATGTTACCTGAAAACAAGGCAGTATGATGAGTGCATAAGAGAAGGTACCAAGGTATGGACAACTTAAATTTTGTTTCTGGTTTCAGTATATGTTATGTACTAAAAATAAAACCATAATGTCTCAATTTAGTCATCTGAAATTGAAACTAGAAGCAAATTAAAGAAAGTAGACAGTAAAAAACCTTTGTTAAATATATCATGGAAATTAGACGACTGAAGAGAACTTATTTATTTATTTTTAGTGGTGGCTAATTATTAATCTGGATTGCTACAAGTCTTGGCACTTGATGCAAAGAATGTCAAAGCCCTTTACCGGAGGGGTCAAGCATATAAAGAAATAGGACAACTAGAAGTGACTGTTCACCCAGTTTTATGAGTTTTGACTGTGGTTGCAGGATTGTTCTTCTTAAGGATGTTAATCTCTGCATCTGTTTTTAAATCTTATGTTATCTGATCGGTTTTCAGAAATTTGTTATGATGCAGTATCTGACTTGAGCAAAGCACATAAAATTTCTCTTGATGATGAAACTATTGCGGATATCTTAACGTATGGATTTTAAGTTGAATGCAGCTGAGGATTTCTAGTCTATGCCATACACTTGTGCCACNGGTATGGATTTTAAGTTGAATGCAGCTGAGGATTTCTAGTCTATGCCATTCACTTGTGCCATGCACATGCATATTGGTTCTTTCATAAGAGCTATATGCCAGTGGAACAGTCAATCGTTGAATTTTGATAGGAAACGAGAGAATATTAGTAAATAAAAAATAAAGCATTCATGAGAGGACAAGGAGTCCTCATGAAAATACGAAAAAACATAGAAGGGTTTATGTGCCTACATTGGCTAGAAACAAATATAAATAAAAAATGAAGAGAAAAGGCAATAGTGCGGCAGCACTAGTCACACACTCGAGTCCAATGATCTTTAATTAAAAACAATGGAATCCCTTCAAATTCTTAGGACCTAGACACCCAAAGAGATGCCATGAAAGAGATCTTGTTCCATAAGTCTTCCCAAGGAACCTCCTTGTTAAGAAGTTCAAGTGTGCACCTCCAGTAAAAAGAGTAACACTTAGCATGTCGGTTATCAACCATTCTTAGATTTGAATGGATCAAGCGTTTATTTCTCAAGGTAAAATTCATACTGTTCTATTTGTGGCCAATGCAACTGTTCCTTTTACATTTAGCATATCCATCCACATGCATTATCTGCATATTTCAATAATAGGTTTATTTAATTTGTCTTACTCCTACTTTTACCCTTACGACCTCATCTTTTTGCTTTTATTTGATACATTAATAGCATATAAATGGTAGGTTCTTCCTTTGGCATGTTGTGTGATGTTTCTTTTTGGATACAGAGGTGCTAAGCAAAGATTGACGGAAGAAGGTAGTGAGCTTGCTTCGAGAGGTATGTTTTTTATGTCATTTAAGTTGGTCCTTTCTTCTCCGTTTCTTGTTCTTTACTGCTAAACAGCCTAAATTCCCAAAGCTTGTGGTGCATGTATGTTACTTTTCTCATGTTTTGAAACCTTTTTTTTAATATGGTTAGTTATTGAAGAAATAACAGACGAAGTCCAGACGGCTTCATCTGAGAATTGTGAAAGTTCACCTACGGAACATCCTGTATCACAACCCCAAGAAACCAGTGGCTGCTCTAGAGATCAAATTAAGATCCCCACTGGGGTTCCATCGTCTAGTTCAGAGTGTTTGCAGGCTTTAAAAGATGACCCAGATTCTATCAGGTTTGTTTGTATCCATAAGAGATTTTGTTCACTGCCCTATTTTTCATTCAGAATAATTAATTTCTTTGCCGCATTATAAATATGCTTGTTTGTTTCCTTTTTCTCTAATTCTATCTCAATGACTGGGTCACATGAAGTCATGAACTGGATATGGAGGCATTCTTATTTCTGCTTCCTCTTTTATTCTTGTGGGCGGTGTCTTTGTGATTAGAAGTAGTTATGTCAGTGGTCAGTGTCCATTAGAGGCATGCATAAGCACAAGCATTCGCAATAGAGAAGAAAGAAGGCAAAGAGTGACAATCATGGTGCGTTGTTCTGTGTACATTAAAGTGGCACGCATGAGGAAAAATGATTTTGTGGTTTGTAGCAATTTTTAAGACTTGTCTCCATGCCCGCTCTTCTTGGTTTCAAAAGATTGAAACAAAAATCATCTTTTCTCCCTATATGACTTACCATATCCATTTGTGCATCTTGTATTCAATTCTATCTTTTATTTTGCAGCTTGATATTGTCTAATTGACATTAGCCGTGTTTGTGTAACCTTTTGAGCATTTCATTAGGCATTTTAGTCGTTAATTACTCAATTTACTTGATGTTCACAAAGTTAAATTGGAAGGCATTGAAGAGTGTAGACATTTGCTTTTCTGTAACTGAAGTTTCTGCAATCTTCTTAAACATGTACGGGGTTCCATGTATTTTAGAGGGAAAAAAGATGTCCCTCTAAAATATATTCAGTACGATGGACAACCATGTTTGGTGACCCTCTCTCTATGTCTGCTTGGGTGTGTGTTAGTTTTTTCTAATTTTAATTTTTTTACATCTAAAAGGTTGTGACTGCAAGGCAGTACCCATGCCATGAAACCTTAGATGTTTGATAATATGCTGTTGATAACAGTGAACAGTCTTGTATTACTGGACTTTGTTTGTGCAATGTTTTTTTGCTGCTGCTTCTTTCTTACTTTCTTTCTTTCTTCTTCCTCCACTTTCCTCTTCTTTTTGGTAAGCTTGTTTAGTAGTCTTTTTGATACTTAATTTTTGAATACTAGAAAATAATTTCAGTTAATCCTCATTGCACTTTTTTTCTCCTGGTGAATTGTATAGATCCTTCCAAAATTTTATTTGTCATGCTGATCCAGATTCTCTGGCTTCTCTGAAGTGGTGGAAAAGCTGAAGGGATATCTCCTGATATGGTGAAGACTGCCTCAAATATGATTAGTAAGATGTCACCTGAAGAACTTCAAAGAATGGTACAAATGGCTTCCTCTTTTGAAGGGGAAAACCCACATTTGAAGAGAAGTTCCATAGGCTCTAATTTTGACAGCTTTAGTCCTGGTTCGGTTCCACCAGATGTGACACCTGACATGCTTCAACCGCAACTGATATGATGAGTAAGATGTCACCGGAAGAACTTCAGAAAATGTTTGAAATTACATCATCGCTGAAAGAAAAAGTTTCAGGATCTGCAGCAGCAGCTTCTTTGCACTCTAATGGGCCAAAAGCGTTAGAAACTCAGGGAAATTTTGTAGTTAATGGAGATAGTTTTGTTGAAAGTAATTCTCAAGGATTTTTGAATTCAAGAAGTGCTCCTCAGTCAAGCTTGCCAAGATCAAGTTCTGATCTGCAAGAAAAATTGAGTAACGAAATGAAAGATCCAGCCATGCAGCAGGTATTCAGCTGGGAGTCCTTGTTTGATAATCCCCTATTCCCCTTTTTAGCTTTTGTGTTTTTGTTCCTCTGTGTGTGCGTGTGTGTGGGGAGGAGGGGGAGATGTTCTATATAGTTATGGTTACGTATCAATATTTATCTTAAATCCAAGGTAACATACCAAAGGACATGACAATGAACCATGGGAGTCAGATTCAGGGAATTTCCCGGCTCTCATGTAAATGAACTTATTCTGTCATTCTTGGCTCAACTTTTCAATCCTGTCAATTGTCTTTCGTGACATCTGAAATGACTTGAGCTTGCATGCTGAGTCGAATATCTTTAATTACTTGAAGAGTTACATAATCCACATATCTTCTTGTCACTTGTGACAATTTTTTTGTGATGACTCCTCATTTGTCAAACTGATAATACACCATGGAATGATCTTTGTTTCATGGAATCCCAATGCGTTTTTTGGTGGAAAGAATTGTGCATTTATTTGCTTAGTTATCCCAAAATTTGATTTCTTGGAAATTGCAGGTGTTCTTGTCAATGATTAAAAATATGAGCCCCGACATGATGGCAAACATGAGCGAACAATTTGGATTTAAGCTTTTGCGGGAGGATGCGGAAAAAGCTCAACAAGTCATGTCACCAGGCGACTTGGATAGAATGGTACCTTCCTAATCTACACCACATATGAAGTTCACCATATTTATATTCAGCCTTTCCTAATATATAAATTTGATGTCGCAATCTTGTATGTCAATAGGCATTCACACTGATGTTTATTGGTAATTATTACTAAATTTTCTGTAATTAGAAAATTGACTACGTAAGTAAATAAATGTTGAAGTCATTGTCATTGTTGTTATTTTGAATTTGGTTTTTTTTTTTTATTCCTGACTGCAGAAATATTCATAACATGTTAAAGGTTGCTTCTTTCAGAGTTATGGAAAATTGTCTGATTTTTGTTATGATCTTTTTTTTCAATAAGAATTGTTTATGATCTTTTATCCCCGTAGTGGTCCAAAATATGAAGTCACATGAAGCCATGTTTGACAGTAATTTCAGCAAATCAAAGCAAACAAAAACATCAAAAGGTTAATTTTTAAGTGAAAAATAAATAATTAATGAGAATGAAAGAAGGCAGATGACCCAGTGCACGAGGCTCTGGGGAGGGTTATTTTAAGAAGTTTAGTTGCTCTTTATTCCTACTTAAGTCGTAGACCTTAATAAAGACGTACTCAGTGAATGTCTTATTCATCTGAAGACATTATTATGGATCTGTTGTTGGTACTCTCAGATGTATGAAGTCAGAATAGATCAAAGTTAGTATGTTGTATTTGGTTAAATTATAAGCCGAAACCTGAAAGAGATTAGTACTATTATGAATGTAAAAACCTTGTTGGCTTGGTGGAAAACTTTTCATGAACTAGGCTGGAAATCATGCTGACTTTTTTAATTTTTAAGGTCTACTTCCCTCCCACGACGTCTTACTGTTACACATTATGGATCAATAAGTTGGTTGTGTAGAACTGGTTGTTAATTCCTGACTCATTTGTCCCATTATGTTTGTTCATTTACTCTGAGCCTGCAGTTTTACCCATACATGCAGTACGTCCAACAGGACTGGAGGATTTGATTGCAAATTGTGTGGAATAGCCATGCGGGTCACGATTACAGTTTACAAGCATGCTTTCTTACCTATTATCATCCTATGTGAACTACTTGATATGTTATTTATTACCTAGTCGATGTGTCTCTCTTTCTCCAAACCTTCTGAAAGAACACTTCCATTTCTTCAATTAAATGCTTTGCCTTCCTTAAATTGTTTGTGTCTGATTTTTGTGGGAGTATTATGTAGTAATCGATTGATATTACAAATATCAGTGGAGTACCTCAGGCTTGGGTTGGGATTCTAGTTGAAAATACTCCGTTAGAGCATGATCTTGAATGATGTGCATACATGAGGATTGTATTGATCTAGTTTATCATGGGTTAGCATTATCCTTGATCTCCAGTATATGCATATTCATGCATGCATAATATTTCCTTTCCCCTGAAAATATTGTTAAAATGTTGTTGCAGATGAAATGGGCCGACAGGATTCAACGAAGACTCGAAGTTGCAAGACAGAATTGGCTGCTGGGTAGAGCTGGCATGATATTGGCAGTATGTATGCTAATTTTAGCAGTCATCCACTGGCTGGGCTTCATTGGCCGTTAAGACGGGGAGCCAGCATGGTCAAGCAAATGCAACAGCATTAAGCAAAATCCTGTAACTGACCGATGGGGGTAATCCTCAAACTCATCAGAGCAAGGAGCGGCATGGCATGCAAGTTGAAGGTTTCATGAAGTGGAAGAGGGTGGAATCTGGTACTGGAATTGCACGGAATCTTGTTCTGTGGGTGAAAGTTCACATCAACAAATTTTCTTATTTATTTATTTATTATTTTAGTTTTACTCCTAATTAATTGTTTGATTAGTTGATTTCTTCATGCCCCTTTTGTAAGTCTGCTAGGGGGATCAGAATGCTTAAAGAAACTTCACAGGGAGGATGGTGAATTGCACATTCAGGTTGAAAGAATCATCCATTTGGATACAAATAATGATCTCGTGATAATAAATGGGTTGTCACTCTGTTCTGCTCATTATCAGGTGAAGAAGTGTAAATGTTTAGCTGAACGGGGGAGGAAGCAATGTCAAAGCAATATCAATAAAGCTGCACTTAACCAACTTTCTATTGTAAATCCACCACTTCAAGTTGGGTCACCTTTTCTACCATTTAACATTAATGAGACTCATTCATCTAATGATGATAGTAAAAGTACCATATCATGGAACTCATTAAAGACTTACAAATTGAAAGTCAGGGTGTTGAAAAAGTGCAAATCTGTCCCCAGTGTTGTGCGGCAGATAACAATTTGGTGCATTAGCATTGTATATATTGTCATGTTAAAGCTGTTGTTGAACAGTTGTAGAAGTTTTTGGCTTGGCATATGAATGGGAGGGGCAGGGTTGATGGTCATCCCCACTTTTATGTGCAATATAACATCCCCATCCATAGTGAATATTCAATATTCCATATGTATTATTAGGTCCCAATAGTTTGTGGGTTTCGGGGTATAGAAATGTTTCATAGAAAACACGTGTTCTATCATATCCATTCTCTGGGAAACAAGCAGCAGGCAAATCCATATTGGAAGCTTCCTAACATAAAAAGCACCAAATCATATGGAATCAAGCAATACAATTTCAACTCATGCAGATGATTATTCTTGCAGAAACGAAAGAAAGTCTCGGTTGGCAATCGGAGAAAGCTAATTTAAGACTGCCCTCCTGTTTTTCTCTGCCACCATTCCAAGAACTTAACCTGAGAAGCCATGGTATCCAACCTGTAAAGTTGCAGGCTGTGGTTTCCAATTTCCTGTCCAAATGTCCACCCAAATATAGCTCCTGCTCCAAAAGATAATGCAGCACCTGCCAAGGGAAATAATGATAATTAACCATAGTTCCATTTATATTAAAGTATATTAAACATGCATAATAAATGCTTTATTCTTTCATTGTGCTGTGTCCCAAATATCCAAACTCTCCAAAAACAGCATGTGTAAATATGGCATGCATCGCTCAGAAGGCTTTCCAGAAACAAGAGGCAAACTAAGAAAAAGGATAACCATTAAAGATCAACATATTCAAACACTATTTGAAAAACAGTTACCATCTGCTGCTATGTTTGTACAAATCCTACTTTCAGTACCATAGAGCAAAACAACAATGGAAACAAGTCCACACATACCATGGGGACTCCTTGAATATTTCCAAGCAAAACCCGCAGTGGAAACTGCTCCAATCAGGCTTCCGAGGGCACCATATTTTGCTGCTTCACGGGCAGTCTTAAGCTGAAAAAAAGGAGAGGAACAAATTAGCACTCTACATTATGTACGGAGAGGAAGGTGCAAAGAAAGATAAAAGCAATTGGACCACCAGAATCAAAGCACACTACACATGGTAATTTTTGTTTTCTGAAGTAGGCAATTTCAATTTTGAACCTCAGAAAGAACAAACAAGAAAACAACAACCCACTCATGCAAAGATTTAGATACAAATGTCATACTTAAAGGATTCTCACTGGCAAAGAAAACATATCTGAAATAATAAGTGTTCCAAAAATCTTTTCTTTCATGCTTTATTTTTCCTTTTTGGATGCATAAATTAGGTGTCACAATAATCTAGTCTTAACAATTTAGAAACTACTGTTAGAATATACCTTCCAAAGCTAATTTTCATACAATGTGAGTCTTAAGGAAGACATACAAATATATATGATGCTATTAGGAAAAGGATTTAAAATGCTTTTGGCGATCAAGCCCTGTAATATATGCTCTATTTACAACATGCACACTGTTTTAACCTTAATAAAAGTACTCAGAAAAGTGTGAAAAGGATAATTAACTTGCATAGTGAAAGGAGAAAAATGGAGAGGTTGTATATGTCAACTAGCACGAGCATGCTTAATTTTCAATTTTCAATTTATTAGCACTCCAAATCTTATTATGTTTTCAATTTTAATTTAAAAGATCGACACCATAAAAAAGGGGAAGAAGTCTTTGAGACAGATTAGCAGCAGCTAGGAAGGGCCAGCAGTCCCCACTCTCTCACAATTTCCCAAGGATAAGAGAAGAATTAGAGAAATATTAAATCGATAATCAACATTATTGCCAACTTTCATGACTCTGTTATATGTAGCTTGCTTTGCTTGAGTATGAGATAGATATACATGTCCATGTTTGAGGAAGCTGCTTAAATCTTACGCAGAATGAGAAATATAGTTGTTAGTATGGCCTTGATCAAAAACAATATACTAGACTACAGTCTGCAATCATTCATAAAATAGATGCACAACTCATTAATTTGGAGCCTGTGAATAATACGTTGTGGTGTAGATGAGCATAAACGTGTCAAATATAGAAAAATATATAAAGGTCGATGCCAAGTATAAGGTGACATTTAACGGCAAAAAACTCGAAATCCAATTGACTTGACAGTTATGTTGGAAAAGGTGATAAAATACTTGAGAGACAGAAAATAGTTTTTACTTAGAATCTCAATGACGCTTAATGGGAGTTCTAGCTTCTCTCATGCAACTTGTGAAATTATAACCTGAAAGATTGAAAACCATGGAAATCCATAGCCAGAAATCTACAAAGATTTAGAGTAAGATTCACATAGGTGATACCAAAATCCTAATTTGTCTATAATGCATCATTCAAAGCTTGCATCTGTAGACCAACGATATAGTATCGCTGATTTTCCTAAAGCTTTTGACATTCATGAAGCAATTTCAGACAAAACTCAAGCACACATTAACTCTAATCTTCACTACTACCAACCACTTAATAGATTTAATAGGTCTTGCTTCTTTTTTGTTTCAATATATTTTTTCCTTTGTGTGTGTGTATAAAATAACATATGCTAGCAATTATCAACATTATAGAACCTACACTCCAAGAGTTGTCAAAATTTGTTAAGCAAGAAAAATTTTCCCTGACATATAAATTGGAATTAGCTAGCTTCTTATAACCAGAATAATATAAACTCTTCACATAACATGAACAACATGTTTTCTAGTCAATTACAAGCAAAAAATAGATCCACTAAACTTGGACATGTGAGATGCAATTTAACCCTCAAGAAGCACCAGCAGAAAATTTTAAGGTTTCAATTTAAGGAAATATGAGCGAGGGACACTGAATGATGGGGCACTCTACCACAACACAACTTATACATTCAAATTTCCGACTTTATGTATTTGACTTAGCGTTTGGCTACAACTATGTTAATTCTTTCTTACCTTTGAGGGCCAATCTTCAGACAATTCTGGCTTCCATTAGCGAGAAACCAGTGTACAACAGAAAATGGAGGAGCCAAAAAAATTGTGCCTAAACAAAACATATTCAAACTGGAACCAAGAGGAGGAGGAGAAGGAGGAGGAGGACGAGGGGTAGAGGGGCAGTCAATTATACACTTAATAAACAGACACCATGACCAACTGGGAACGCCTTCATTTTTGAAAAAATAAATTATGTCAAAGGTATCAAATATAAATAGCAATAATCAACTTCCAATACACATAACTAAGGTTCACCTAGATGACCATTCCTCAAATCCATCCCAAAATAAGCAGGTGCAAGATGAAAATGAAACAAAGTAACAGGAAATGCGCAACAGATTAGTATTTAAATACAAAATATCCCCAAAAACCCAATCAAAATCCCAACTAAACAAGAAAAATAACGCGACAATTTCGATCTCTGTATCAACAAAGTGGAATAACAGATGAAATTGAACATGACCCCAGATAAAATAAATTAGACGATACCAAACGACACTCAGATGGAATGAAAGCATGAATATTAGACCAAATCAAGCAATCCCAGATCATAGAAAATGAAATGAACGCCATTTGAAATAAAAGCATATCTACGCACGCATACATACATATATCGATCAATATATCTCTATATATGTGTAGAGAGAGAGATAGAGAGAGAGAGAGAGAAAGTGGATACTGTGGGGCCATGAACTGGGTCAGAGGCGATGAACTCCTCTACATCAGAGTCAGACCAAGAAGGGAGAGGCTTCTCTCTTTTGACAAACCTCGAATAGTTATCCAAAATGGAGAATCTCTCGCTCCAGAACTCTTTGTAGCCTTCCCAGTGCCTCCTAAAGAACGACTTCGACTCTGCTGATGATTCATACACTGCTCCACTTTCAGCCATCTTTCAAAAAGATTGGAGATTTTTGAGTCGATTTGGGTATCAACACCGATCAGTATTTTGGATGAAAGTGATGGCCAGTGGGAGGGAGAAAACGTTGGGAATTCTATGAGGTGAGGTTGTGGTCAAGTGAGTCAGAGTTACCGATCAATCAAGAATAATGCTTGTAGGACTTAAAATTTTAACATAATTTGTTAATATAATGATATAATTTTATTAGAATTATTATATTAATATTAAATTTTAATATTTGATAAAATTCACATATAATTCAAAAGTTACAATAAAGTCACATCATTATGTCAATAAATTATGTTAAATTTTTAAGTCCAAATAGTAATACTCATCAATAAATTCACTGATTGGGCCACGATGAAATCACGTTACCAAAATGATCTTATCATTAAATAAAAATAAAATAAAATAAAGAGAAATTTTCAGCCATAGTTTTTTTAATTTATCATATTTTTAAAGAGACTCTTCTATTATCAAAAATATTATCGACACTTTTTTTAATTTATATTTAAATATTATTGATACCTTTTACCATTAAACTACTATTTTTAACAATTTTTTTTAATCTAAAATATTAAAAATACTCCTACATAAACATTAAATAATCTTTCTATATAAAATTTGATTTAAATTTGAATGAATTAAAATTTATTTTTTTACATATTAAAATTCAAACTAATTAAAACTTATTTTTTCTATACATTAAAATTTGAGTTGATTAAAATTCAATTTTGCCTAATTAAATTTTATTTTTTTACGTATTAAAATTCAAGGCGATTTGAGTTCTACCTAATATGTTAGCACCGATTAAAATTCGCTTTGAATCGATTAAATTTTATATTTTTTTACTTATTAAAATTTGCACCAATTAAAAATTGATTCAAATTTATTTTTTACGTATTAAAATTTGAGTCGATTAAAATTTATATTTTTTATGTATCAAAATTTGAACCCCATACGAGTAAATTAAAATTTGATTTGAGCTGATTAAAAATATTTTTTAATCAATTCAAATAGAATTTTAATATATAAAAAATATAAATTTTAATTGATTCAAATTTTAATACGTAAAAAAAAATAATTAATTTAAATCGAATTTTAATTTGCCCGAATTTTAATACATAAAAAAAATTTAAGAAACAGAAGGAGTCTCATTTAAGATATATCTATCTAGAGGAAGTGTGGATGAAATTTTTCCTCAAATATATTATCATGGATAATTTAGTGAAATTACATTCTAATTAACACCTTTAATCTGATAGGAGTGTGAGTGAAGATTCAAAAAATTGAAAGGGCGTCATTAAAAATATGATAAGCTAGAAAAGATGTGGCCGAATTTTTTCCTAAAATGAATGAAGTGAACCACCTTCATTTACACTAGGAATGCACTACGTACATTGCATGTGAATAATTTTTGTACACAAAAATTAATAAAATATATTAGGTATATATGTATTTAAATTAAATATCATCTAAAATTTACAAATTTTAATTTTTTATTGCTCATATTTTATTGTAAGATTATGAAAATTTTATATATTCCCAAAATTTTTTGCTCTAACTATAAAAAAAATAAAAACAATAGTTAAAGTCCTATATTTTTAGAATTTTATGATTAAAATTAATTTTTTTAGTGATGTTTGAAAAATCAAATTTTTTGGAATTCATTTGATTAGGATTTCAATTATAATTCTTTGAATAAAATAAAAGTAATTGTTAATATACTAATCACATTGGAACCTTACTACAATTAAAAATAATTTAGGTCAATTGGAATAAAATTTAATATAATATTCTACAATTTGTATTATCAAATATCTTAAAATTATAAAAAATTTAAGTTTTACTTAAAAATACACTATGATATTTATTTTTATTAAATAAAACTTAGTACAACTTATAAAGTTTAGGGTAAATTATACTGACATCCCTGCAGATTGATCTAATTACAGAGACGCCCCTTTAATTTTTTGAAATTACACTGATGTCCTTTACTGTTTACCTACTCATTTCACAAAATATTCCTATTGTTAGCATCGTTATTGACAATGTCAAAAAAGTGATTATATCATCAACTTTTGTACTTTAATACTCATATTACTCATGGATAAAATTAGGCTAATCTATTTATTTTTGTATCGTATTCATGTTCGCATTTATGTTTCTTTTTTTTTTTTTATATCGTGGAACCTCTCCAAGGTAAGGCCACTTTGAACTCATTCTTGCAAGAGTAAACCCCGGATACCTGTAATTATCCGCAAATCACATGTATCATTTAAGTCCAAGAGACACCAGTGAAAGTTAAAACCCTGACGTCCGAGTCTACGATTTATTTGGGTTCAACTCCACACCGCTAGATTATCTGCGTAGGGGTGTTCATATTCGTGTTGACTCATATAACCTTTAAATAAAAAAATTTAACGTTAAAATTTAAATCTAAGATTCTATTTTTACTTAACCGAATGCATTCTCATACTTTTCCTATAAACTAAAAATTAACTTAATAAACATAACAATAATAACAAATAAAAATATCTTTTTATACAATAATTATGTTAGTGTTTAATAAACAACAACAAATAAAAAATATTTTATTTTTATAATATCAGTTAAACATATGGATCATTGCAATTCCGTGTTGTTCGTATCAACATACAAACAGAAAAATAGAGGAAATTCGACACGATTAAATAAAACAAGTTAATCGTATCAATTTCAAGTTTGACAGGTTGAATCCAAAAATGGCTCATTTATTAGTATTTAATAATATGAGAATATGATAAGTAAAAAATGATGTATGTATGGTAAGGATAATTATGAGAAATTATATATATATTTTTTATATTTGTTAAGGGACAAGACCTCACTTCGGGTATCAGTGTAATTTCAAAAAATTGAGGAGGTGTCATTGTAATTAGACNGAGGAGGTGTCCTTGTAATTAGAATAATTTACATAAGTGTCATTATAATTTATCTTAAAATTTATTGTGACTGAAAAATTATATTGATATAGCATAAATTGATTTTAAAAAATTATATATACGATTATTTTTTATCTTAAAAATGAAAAGGTTCAACTTTTCCATAAAAAATAATATATATATATATAGGATGATGAGTAATATTAGAAAGATAGAGTGTTTGAAGTTTTTTCGAACAATTTATTGAAAATATAATGATGCATATTTTTTAAGAGTTATATAGTTAATCAAAAAATAAAGGGAGAATTACACTTGAATCCCCTGAGGTTTGTCATTTAATCACTCAGATCCCCTGACTTTTAAAATATTATACATAGACCGTCTAAGGTTTGTACGTGCATAACACTTAGACCCCTACTGTAAATATATCTATTAANTGGAAAATGGCGGCTTATTTCCATTCTGTTTTTTCACGGGAGAATTACATCCGGGCCTCTAAAATTTGTCACTTAATCACTTAGATTTCTTGACATTTAAAATATTACACATAAACTCTCTAAAATTTGTACACGTAACACTTAGACCATAAATATATCAATTAATAAATTATACTTAGACCCCTTAAAATTTACAAATATATAATATTTAGACCCTTTAAGTTTAAAATATTGTGTTATACCAAAAATACTCTAATCAAAAAAAGAAAATCAAATATTTTAAATTTTACAATCAAAATTTATGTTCTATTGTATTATTTATTGAAATAAAATTAAAATTAAAAATTTAATTCTTTTTTAAAAAATCATAATTAGTATACAATTATACTATCTATTGGAATAAAACTAAAAAATAAAATAAGGGGTCTAAGTCATTCATAATAGAACATGAATTTTACATCTAAAATTCATGCTATATTGTGTCATTTATTGAAATAAAATCAAAAGTAAAAGTCTAGTTTTTTTTAAAAAAATCATAGTTATTTTATAATTATATTATCTATTAGAATAAAACTAAAAAATTAAACAATAGGCTAAATTGTAATGGAAACAATATATTTTAGCTTTAATTGGGGTAATTTGGTATCTTAATTTGGTCGTTTAAACAACCAAATTAAATTTCAATAGACAATATAATTATATAATAATTATAATTTTTTAAGAAAAAATTGAATTTTTATTTTTAATTTTATTTCAATAAATGATATAATAGAATATGAATTTTTTTTGTAAAATTTAAAATATTTGATATTTTATCTTTCATTAGAATATTTTTTATCTCAGTATAATATTTTAAATTTAAGCAGTGTAAATATTATATATTTATAAACTTTAGGGGGTCTAAATATAATTTATTAACTGGTATATTTCCTGTTGGGGTCTAAACGTTACGTGCGTACAAACTTTAAGGGGTCTGTGTATAATATTTTAAATATCAGAGGTTGGAGTGATTAAATAAAAAATCTCAAGGGGTCTAGGTGTAATACTCCTTTTTGTTCAATTTCCGGATTCAAACGACGTCGTTTAACAAACACAAACATAAGTAAAAAGTTGAGAATAGTTATGGATATAAAGTCCTCTACCGTCTCTTAAAAAATTTCCCTAATTTTTTGGCAACATGAATTCTAGGGATATGCAAATTTGAGCCAACTAACTCGAATTTGTCTCGGATGCTACTGATATAAAAAAGTTACAGTTTAGGTAAGGATTTTTACTTGGACTTTGGGCAAAAGATTTTTCTATTCAATTTAAACTCAAGTAATACTCGAATTAAAGTCATGATTTCTAGNGCTTAGGTAAGGATTTTTACTTGGACTTTGGGCAAAAGATTTTTCTATTCAATTTAAACTCAAGTAATACTCGAATTAAAGCCATGATTTATAGAAATCCATCCTAATTTAGGTCTAATCGTAGTTAAACTTGAATTTTAACCCAAATTGCATAGTCTAAGATTCAAGTTTAACTTCAATCAAGTTGAATCCAAATTAAACCTAAATTCTAGTCAGAATTGTGTAACACCTAACACAGTGAAAATCCAAATATCAACTCAAACTGTGGAACTCAAGTTTAA